TTGATTGATTGATTAATGGCTCAGGTTCTTTGAGTGAACAAGCTGATTGACAACTCAAGTTCCTTATGCTCTGGTTGACAGCTCAGGTTCCTTGTGCTCTGGCATGCCCATCCCCTTTTGGGCAGGTTTTTACCCATGAAGCACATAGAGAAACCAATGGGAGGGGGCTCAGACTGTAATGTTAATTACATTACAATGAGCATTGATTGAAGTTATGCCGGGTCCTTGTCTTATATGCAGCCGCAGCATTTTGATTTTAACTGGCTTCTTTTGCTGGCCCTCATTTAGAGAAAGTAAAAATTTCTGGAAACCCTAATCCTGAATGCATACATACTGTTATTTCCTGGATTGTTCCTTCCCCCTTCCTCTCCCCCTGCCCAATGCTCATTTCTATCTAACTACCTACCATCACCGAATTCAGGTCTACTTGGGCCACGACCTGGACACCTGTGGCTGGAAGATCCTCTCCCAAGAATTCTTCACGGAAACCCACGACCGGGAGTATTATGAACCCTTAGCGAGCTGCAGCAGAAGGGCCAGGAAGCGCATCCAGGAGGTAAGGACCTAGTCTGGGCTCCAGTCATAGCTTTTGGTTACTCACTGCCAAAGGCTGGAGCCTAGGTCTAGGCTGTGCGCTTCTGGGACACTTGTTTTTCTAGACAAGGGAAAAGGAAAACCTGCTTGTGTATTTTCAATTTTTTGTCCACTAGATGGTGGATCACAGTCCCTTATCATAACAACAGAGTTCTTTCTCACAGGTTTGCTTTTCTCTCACAAAGCCCACACTGGGCTTTACACATGGAAAGTGCAAATTGGAAACCATCCAATAAGTTATTTTTTTTCCCCAGGCTTCCCCTTGTAAAGCAGAAAGCTGAAAGTACATTAGAGGAGAAGGTTAGAGAGAGGAGATGAGTAGTGAGGAAATACAAGGTTTAAGGGAGCTAACCTGCACTTCCCAGGAAGCCATGGGTGGGCCCACCACACCTGTCACTCCTGCTTAGGCTCTGGTGACCTTGTTGTCACTGCGCTGCTCCCAGGAGCACAGAGAAGGCCACGGAGCCTCCACCAGGGCAGTGGTGACTGCTCCTACCCAACAGGTCATCCTGGGAAACAACAGCCACTCCAACCTGTGCTCAGAGAGGTGAAAAGACACTAACCACTGTCCCCGGTGTCCGTGAATCACGTGACCATAGTGGGTCATGTGACAGCCTGGGGGCTGAAGTCCACCCCTTAGACCTTCTGGGAAAGCACGAAATTCAGAGGCAAAGGTAGGTGAGTCCTGGGTGCTCGTTTCATGTTTGGGACAGCAGGGCTGAGACTGTCCTCAGACCCGCTCCTCAGGGCTTTAAATTTGGGGTCACTCCCCTCTGCTGCCCCTGCTCTGCTGCGGGTGTGCCTTTTTCCTCCCACCGCCTTGAGAAACTACACTTCCTGGGGCAGGGGACAGTTTGCATGAGTTCTGCCTTTGGCCCAGAATTTGGGGCCAAGACCTTAACTGCCCCCACCCAGAACAACAGAAATGCAGATGATGGGGGTTGTGGGGTGGGGGAGGAGTTATTGTGCAGATCGGGCCAGGTATAGTCCAAGTCTCCACACCTTCCACCTCTGAGAAAGGGAGCTAGGGTTGGAGCTGCCTCAGGGAACTACAGTCAGGTTGGTAACTTAATCCCAAATGGGAGTTCAAGATTAAAAAAAAGTTCTTTACACTCTAGTTGCAGTTTTCTGTAAGTTTCAGATTGTTTTAAACTAAATAAAAAATAATTTGTGGTTTTAAAAGGGAAATTAATCATTCTTACACATGGGTCTAAAAAAAGAGCTTAAAATGTCACTAATATGATGTGTTTTGCGATGATAATGTAACAAATTAAAACCCAGTCATCTAGAGATCACAAATTCATTTATTAAAAATGATCCTGGAATTACATAGCTAGAAGTTTTAAACTTTAAGAAGCCAAAAGGAAAATTCTACATGTTACCAATAATTGCATACCAAATTTGTTTTAAATTGCTATTTAAAACAAAAACTATGGTAGAAATTTCTGTGGTTTATGACACTGGCATTTCATCTCTAGGGTAGATGGGCTTCTTAAGAAAAACATCTTTAAGAGCATTATGGATTAAATGTTCACACGTTGAAATTCGATTCTGCCCCTCCACCCCCTTCCTTTTCCTCCTTATGAGATGCTCAGAGGTACTAAGAGGTGAGGCCTTCGGAAGGTGATTAGGATTAGATGAGGTCGTGAAGGTGGAGCCCTCCTGAATGGGATTAGTGTCCTTATAAGTGTCATCAGTCTGCACCGCTTTCCTTCCGCCCTTCTTTCTGGAATGAGGCCAGACCCAGGCACTGAGTGAGCAAGACTGCGAGTTGAGATTCTGGAGCTGCTGCCACCACCGCAGCATGAGAGCAAGGGAGCACCCGAGGGACCCAGCCCCTGTGCACTGGCCCAGCCGAGACCCGTGCCCTACCTGGGGCCAGCGGGAGCCACGGTATCCCGTCTCCCCATCCCCTCCCCGCCGGCAGCGACAGCTGCACACGTCGGAGCCCGAGCCGGCGGCCGGGGGCCGGGAGGCGGCTACCTACCTCGGGCGGGGCTCGTCAGCGGCTCCGCAGTGAGAGGGCGCTGAGAAGGGGCCAGAGCCTCTGTCTCATCCTGGGGCGTGGGGCAAGGGACCCCCAAGGTGGAGGGAGGGGGTCCCAGCCTCAGCGACACCTATGGGAGCCGGAAGCCGGGTCGGCGCCGAGCGGAGCTGGCTGGATCCCCCACCTCGGTGCCATCTCCGCCACCCTCCTGCGTCTATAGCATCTCGACACTGAGTATATGAGCTGGGACCCCAAGTTCGGCCACCACCCCCCAGCCAGGGGTGTGGGCGGGGACACCAATATGAAGTAGTGGCCTGGGCAACGGGATCAGCAGGACCGGTGCCGCCATTCTTTCCTTCTCTCCCCCTCCCCTCTGCCCCCTTGGGGGTTTTATCCCTTAACCAGTCACTGGACCCTGGCTCCTCGGCAGGACTCCGGGAGGAGGTCTTAGGGCCCCACCCCCCACCCCAGCCCCGAGGGCGGCGGGTTTTGGGGGACCTGGAGGGCCGACTGCAGCCTTCGCCCAGAGGGAACTTTATTAAAATCAAAGTACAGAGCATCCCAAACCTGACTGTCCAGGGACAAGTGGACCAGGACCGGCAGAAGACCCAGCCTGAAGAGGCCCAGAAAGAGAAGAGGAGGGAATTGGGGCCGCTGCCTCCTTTGCTCTGTCGGTGTTGAAAAGACCTGAGTGGCTGCCCAGCTTAGCGGCACCAGCCCCGCTTATTCCTCAGTAAGGCGCAGGCCCTGCCGCAGCTGCCGCCTCCATCCCGAGGAGGAAGGGAACCAGCCCACTTTCAGCGCTCTGGCTCTTCTGTAAAGTGTGAGTGGCTCTGGGAAGGGGAGTTGGGGGAAGGGGGAGGGTGCCCGTGCGTCCTGCGGTGTTTTGCCGATGTTTTCCTGGAGTGTTGGGAGCATACAGATGAGCGGGGTGTCTGAGTCCTCACTGCGGGCAGAAGGCATCAGGCAGTCCTGTGTCTTGTAACCTTTTAGTTCTCTGTGCGTGTGATACGCAAGCCTGCAGGTTTCTTTTTGAGGAGTTCTGTCTTTCTGCAGAGTGGACCCTTGCATGTTTCTGGCCATTAATTGGTAAAAGGAAACTGAGGAAGCCAGAGCATATGTGCGCACAGAGGACATCTCTGTGTATGTAGCTTTTCCTGGTACATCGGGTGGGAAACAGCGCTGTAGGTTTTGTTTCTGGGCAACTCCTATTTGGGTTCCCAAATGGAAGCCTCTGACTCTGTGAGGCCCTGAATGTAAAATTTATTTTCTATTCTGCAGTCTTCCTTGAGAGTTTTCATTTCAGTACAGGAGCTTTTTACCTTCTCATTTCCTGGGTGCAGTTCCTGCGTATCAGCAGGACGTGGTAACCGAGATCAGTTACTCAGGAAACTTGGGGTTCTTAGGAATCATAACTGATTTGGGGGAGAGCATTTTGTACTTTAACCAGTTTATTAAAAACGTATTTCATTTTTCCTTAGCCAAAATTTGTTTTTTCCCTGAGTTGTATATGTCCTAATCGACAGCATTTTTTAATTGGTGGAATGACTTGTGACTTATTTCAGTTGTCTTCTCTATTAAATGAGGATGATTTTTTTATCCCTTTTTGTTACTTTAAAGGAGAAGCCTACAGAATCTTTGATTTGTATATTAAGTATCCTCTCAGAGTGCAAAATTAAAGAGGAGGAAGATAATGAATATTTTGTATATTTACGTAGACTTTAAGTGTTAGGCATAGGTGGAATTTTACATAACAAAGCAGACAGTACCAAACTGAGGATCGCAGGCCCCCGGAGAGCTGTGTGGGCTTCGTTCTGAAGCCACTGCTGAGAGAGGCTCTGTGGAGTGAATGTAAGCCTGAGTCATCTGTGTCAACTTTTCCATTCAGGACCTTGATCAAACTTATTTAAAACTTCCTCAAACACTTTTTAGCCTGTACTTTTTTCTTCTAAAGTGACAAATTCTACAAGTTTTTTAGCCCTCGTTTTTATTAGTAATTCATTTATTTATCCAAAACCTGTCTCTTTAAAGTTCCAGGACAAGTCCTGAGCGTGTGTTTTGAGAAATGCTAAAATGAGCTGGAGTTCATCTTTTCCTGGTTTTGTAGATTTTCAGTATTCCTCTTTACCATCATTGTTCCTGACTGTTTTTGTCTGTTTTGCAATCACTTTGCCCTCCCCTGGAACTTCTCCAGCTGTTTTATTCTTCTTTATATGCCTTGTTCTTGTTATGCCTTTGTTATGAACCTTAAATTCTGTCTATTTTAAATAGATGCTGACATTAAATTATTGTGTAATGGATGTAATGTTAGATGTGAGATCAAAGACAACTGTTGCTGGACCTGTTATTTTGTGACCATGAGAAAGTCATGTATCCCATGTTTCACAAAGATAGGAAGAGACATCTAGTCCTGCATAGGCTGCTTTTCGGGGGTAGGAAGGGAGGACAAACCAACAAAATAGTTTCAGTGTAAATTATACTCCATCAGAGTTTCTTAGTAAATTTAAGACTTTTATTGCTTTTACTATAGATTGGTTAAAACTCATGTCAGTGCTTTATTGTGTATTTATTTAGGAGCAAAGAAACAACAAATTAATTGGGGGCCCCGCTTTTGAGATGCTTTTACTTATGAATGGCAGAGACAATGATACACAGATTGCACAAAACTGTAGGGAAAGGGAAATGAACCAGTTTTTAATCTATGACCACTATATGCCAGAAAGTTTTTGGTATATTATAGATGTAAGTGTGTTTGTACATTTTTCATTGGGGAAATGTTGATATTGGACTACACAGAACATATTGGAGTGTCTGAGCCAGTGGAAGAAAAGAGCAGCTGGAGATAGTGTTGAAGACTTTTGGAACTGGAGGATGTGGGGAGCAGAGGTAATTAGGAAGATGGTTGATGGGAAATCACAGGGAAGTTGTTGAGTAGCTTAGGGTCAGTTTGTGCTTGTGTGGGTATGTGTTTACAG